CACTGCGCCATCTTCAGTGGGAGCAGATTTTGGATCCTTCCTTGGGCGTGAACACCTCCATTGGGAGATATTGATTCTCTGTATYWGGTATATCCTCCCTCCTACTTCTTTTGGTTCAGATCTGATTTGGTTCTTGATTCAAGGTTGATCATTGAAAATATGTTTTCTGAAATAGGGAATTCGATTCCCTACAAAGATGGAAGAAAAATTTTTTGAAATTCGCCCTATCTATTCCGCAAGATTTGGGCGTCCATGTGATGGATATCCCATCCCTTCAGTGGTATCAGAGCCATGGTTCAATTCTTGAATCAAATTAATTCAGATCTGAACCTGCGCAAATGGGCAGAAGGTGTTCTACCCGATTTGCGCAGATATGGGTTGTGGGAAATTTATTCCCAAAATTATTGGGCGAATAATATGAAATTAATTTTATATAAATCTGATTATTGTTTAGAATAGTTCTTTATGATTTTCTTGATTTATGGGCTGTTCGTACGAGAAGAGATCGAATTCTTGGTTTGCGCAGGGAACCTACAAGATTTGCAGTTTCTTGATTTATTCATTACATTTGGTCTGTAAATAAATTTTTTTTTAGACTTAATGTATTAGATATTCGATCTGATGTAATTATAATAGAAATTAGGTTTTCTATTTAATTCAATTTTGGATCGAAGATGACAGCACAAGGAAGGAGATTTCGCAGATGGGACATTCGCTACCTGCGATTTGCAGTTTATGAAACTGCATTCTGTGATCTGACCTCTGTTTTGCAGGATGGATTGTACAAACAACCCTGGATTAACTGATTCTTGTTTTCTTTTATCAGTTCTTTAATTTCAGATTATTTTCTTGAACTAAAGATTTAATTAAAGATCAAACCCTAGACCCATTCGAACCAAGATTGGTTCAAATTATTTGGACCGAATCTAGGGTTTATTCAAGGCTGAAAGTCAGCCCTAATTTTCCCACAAATGGGCCTAAGGATTGATGTTTAATTAAATGGTTAACTCGGCCCAACCTATAAGGCCCAGTTTTAAACTGTTAAAACTGCCAAAAGCCCACTTCAAAGGAACAAGCTATATGGGCCGAACTGGGTAACCCTGATTCAGCCCATATACCTAGATGAGATATTACAGATAATTAATTGATTGGATCAATTCCTCCCTGCATGTGATGTATGGATGTGTGTGATGTGCTACGTTCATGGACCATAAGTGCTTGGCCCATGCAGATTCGATAGTGGCTCTTGCGCACACCATGGCTGAATGCACATCATTGCCATGGTGTCCCTACTGGTCATTTGATGACCTCCCTCAATGGTGGGCCCCACACCTCCTGAAGGGGTTACGTGCGGAACTCTAGCCGATTTAGGCCCACCGAAAATCTGGCTTTGTGAAAGTCAGTGGGAGCCACTCTGGTTTGACCTAAAATAAACTAGGGCGTAATTCTTGTTCCCTCCATTAAATATGAGTGCATGTGATAGGGAGATTCATATGATGAACCCTCCAAAGGCCTTCCATCATTAGCATGAGGATGGGTCCTTCAVTAATGAGGAAAYGCACCAGAAAATGGGCTATCCATTTGCTGTTGGGCTTGTCTAAGTGTTTCATAAGATGATAGGGGCGTCATAGACCGAT